GTAATTTTATATGGTTCTACATAGGGGGGTGATTTATTGTAAGAAATACTTTTTTGCCTTTTTTCATGGACCGTAGGGACCATTGTGAGGCATTTCTAGTTTTTCTTTTTGGCAGTGTTGATGTTTAGGAATTCACTTTCCTCCTAAATCACTAACTCAGGTATAGGTAAGAAGTCCATGAACAGATTAGGAAATTGTGTAATCTCTATGCATAGTTTTCTTTATTATTTTTAAACATCTAGGCAGAAGTGTTAAATGTAATATAGTACTTAAGCAGTTATTTGTGAAGTAGCCTTGACTATTGATTCAATTCATTTAAAATGGACTAGATTGCTTAATAGCTGTTCTTCTTTACGGAAACATTTAAAAAAAAATCCCAAGGGATTCCGTGGTAGTTGTGTTTTTCTTATGAATCTCTATCTTTGACTTAAGGACAAAGTAAAAGAATATCATTGATTTGTGATATGAGTTTACTTTTTTGTTGTTGTTTAAGGCTATAGGGCCAGTTAATACAATTGAATTTTAATTTCCTGTAATGAAGTACCTTATTTCCAGATACTATATTTTTCTAGCTGATATAATATAGTTTATTAACCTATAGATTTTTATAGTAGTGATAATGATAATTTTGCTATTGGTTCTTGTTATGTGACCATTTCTGATTTGAATAAAAATAGCCACATTATTAGAAAAATGTGTTATTTATCAATCTTATTGAAACCAGAGAGCTGGAATAATTAAGAGACTAGAGTAACTTCAGATTCCTTTTGAGCTTTAATAATTTTAAAGTTTTCCTCATTACCAAATTTTCTTAATTACTTGTGAGAATGAGTACTTCTACATTTAAAATATATTTAGAAATCTGTGATTTTACCCTTTCTTATGAATGTAAATAGGTATTTCAGAGTACATCATAAAACATTGTAAATAGATATTTTTTAATTCCTGATAAAATCTGGTTTATAGCAATTTATTATAAACTGCATTAAGCACATACAATGAAGGAATATGTATTTTCATTATTGGAATACTATATTCATGTATCAGTGCTGCTGGTTGAAAATTGTTATATGTAACTTTGTAAAGCAATACATTATCAAGCTTAATGCAATCATTTATTTTTCTTTTGTTTCTTTTTAATTCAACAGACATATCAAGTGCTTAATCTTTGTCTGACATATCTCTGTGTGCTTTTATGTTTTGGGTATACATTGTGTAATTAATTGCCACTTTTTATTTCAATATTACATAAATCATTTCTGAGGGCATACTTGGACATAAGTGACATATTACATATTTCTCTGGGTTTTTCTTTTAATAATGTGATTTTGAAAAATAGATCTAAATAAAAAATTTATTTAAAAATAGATTTGTTCTTCCAAAACAGTATTATGTACATATTTAAAATTATCTACAATAGCCTGCTATTCAAAAGAATATTATGATAAGGTCATTATTATGGAAAAGTGATATATGTATATTTCTTATGTTATATTTACTTGAAGCAGGACATATATGTATGCACAGATAATCTTTGATGTTTTATTTTGAATATTAAAAAACTATATGGTTATGATTCAATTTATTATATTTAATTTGGAAAGGATAACATTAATTTTCTCATGTTTGTGAGAAAATACATTCTTGTATAATATAAAGTATAATAGCCATTGTCAGCAAAATAAAGGTTAGATTTGAATATGGTTGTTATTTTTTGTCATAATACTGAAATGGAACACTATGTTTATAATAAACATTTGATGATTACATAATGAAATTATCTGTACTTTACATGCAGTGCTACTCTTTTGGCATTCCTGGTTGAACTACTTAAAAGTTCAGTAGCCATGCAAGAACAGATGCTGGGTGGAAAAGGCTTTTTAGTCATTGGCTACTTACTTGAAAAGGTAAGTGATGTGTATTGATGGTTTTGTTGTGTAGCCTTCATAGTTGGACAACTGACAATCACCAATTATATTTTTTCTGTAGTTTCTCTTTCCATTACTCTTTCCTTACTCCAGTGTAGGAGTAATATTATTTGCTAATTCACAAACATTTTGATATTATGCACTTGCATATAAATATAAACACGAAATTAAACTGGGGGTTAGAAGTGTAAATAATTAAGAAATTTTGAGTGAAAATGGAAACTAAAGAAAAATTCTTTCATATATTTCTATTCAAATTTTAACTATCATTTTCCTTACTTTTTTCTACAGTAGTACTCCCTTTTCCCCAGTTTCACTTTCTGAGGTTTCAGCTATCCATGGTCCAAAAATATTAAATGGAAAAGTTCTGGAAGTAGAGAATTTATAAGTTTTAAATTGTGCTCCATTCTATGTAAAGTAATGAAATCTCATGCTGTCCCTCTCCATCATGCCTGGGACGTGAATATCCCTGTGCCTAGTTTATCCACACTATATATGCCCTTAGTCATTTAGTAGCCATCTCAGTTATCAGATTGAAAAACCATGGTACATATAAGATATAGATAGTTAGATAGATAGATAGGTAGATGGAGATAGACATAGATGTTACTATCCTTTGCTTCAGGAATCGACTAGAGTTCTTTGAACTACCTCCTGTGGATAAGTGGGGGACTACTGTAGTTGTTTCTTTGCTATTTTTACATTCAGACTGAGTTTCTTAAAAATCTTAACATTTTATTTGTTAAATAGGTTTACTTTTTAGT